AGCTGTTCGACATTGGCTCACATTCACTGACAAGTAGTGATATTAAAACCTAGTTTTGCGCAATTTAACTAGAAAGTTCTCATAACAAAATTTCAAAGAACATTTACTTTTAACTCTTTGAGGCTTAGGTTTTTTTTTAAGAGAAATCAACGTATAAAATAATAAATCATAATAATTCCCTTTTAAATGAGTTAAAATTTCCAAAAATCATAAAAAGAATTTGACGAAAGTGAATTTATGTGGTTTTATCATTCCTTAGAGTTCAATTATATTCAAAATCCTTTTAAAATTAGAAATAAATGCGTACAGCTTTACCCTAGAATCGTCTGAATCAGTTTAACATTAAAGCAAGATTGATTAAATTATGTATCAAGTTGAATTATTTTTGGTAAATCTCGTTTGTTGATGTTATGTTTAAAAATCTGTTACATAATAATACTCTCGAAATAGCCATAAACTGATAAAAAGATGACTGCCATTTTCACTGATAAATTTGTAATATTTGATGTGCCAATTTGTGTAGTTGATTTTCAAAATATGATGTCTAAACTCAATCTTTTAAAATCAATATTATCTAGCTGTTACCCACGGGCTTCACCCCGTTTGACTTCATAAGTATTAATCCATTCTTAATTAATCCATTCCATCAAAGCCTATTGATTGGTTTTAAGCTAATCTGAAATAAACAAAACAGAATACAGTACAAACAAATAATTACACCTGATTTTAATCCTACTTCCTACTAATACAGTATTATAAGTGTGAAAGTTTAGATGTATATATGGATGCTTGTGTCAAGTAAACGCGAAAAATACTTAACCGATAGCGTTGAAATTTGGTTAGATGATTTGGTTAGCTCACGTTCCTGATTAACATATAGACATTCTTATATCAAAAATCCTTTCGGGCTCCGCCCCAGTGGCTCTGGAATTTCCCATGTTAACCTAATGAGTATTCATATTTAAAAGGAATTAAAGAATTTTGTCAGCTATTTTAACTGTACAAGTGGGTTCAATTAATTCTTTTTGTCTATGGCTCTATGATGTTAAATAACATTAAAAAGTTATAAGGTTTACCAACAGGGTGCAGCATTATTATTTTTTGCATTTATGACAACAGCAAATTTTAACCAACTAGCAACAAAAATATGTGGTACACAATGAGAACTTTGCTTGTTTCTATGGTTTAGGTACAGTGTAGAACATTATTCCTTTAGAAAGGAACTACGACCTTAAAGGGCTTTATTTATGAAATAATGGATGCGCAAGGTTTCTCGTCTTTACGATCATTTTAAGTATTTAAGTATGTGGTTTATGGGGGTGTGATGTTTAGTTTTCTCAAAAGTTCATGGGTACCTTGGGATTTATATATTGATGTTGATTGTTGAATTGAAATTAATCCGTACGATTAATTTAACATTTTTCATGTAACGTTTGAGTATAATTCGTTTACCTAAAATTTGTCCGTGTACGTAGTTCAAATCATTGTTAATTTGTGAAACGGAGCATGCTTACGATGATGAATATTTCAACGACGATCTGAGCTCTCGAACTTCCAAGAACGTACCTAAAATAAATCACTGAGAAATGTTACAAACATAAAATAATAATTATATACTAACTATCTGTTGCCCATCGGCATCGCACGATACAATTTTGTCTTTTATTACTATTATGAACCTGCTAAAGGCTAAAATTGCCTTTTGCATTAATCCACTTTCTAACTGTCCTTTTACCAAGACCTTCAAATTACTCCCTCCGGAACAACCTACTTAATGTTTTTCACTAAAATACTATTCCCGTTGTATCTCATTTTACTTAGAATAATTATATGCCCACCCTAATCACTAAATTTTAAGGTTATTCCTAACCACTATACCCGTGCTTCGCGACAACACCAAAGAGAATAATGATTTTCTTTGGATCTGTATGGAAGGTTATTAATTCATAAATAAATGTCCACAATGTTGATAAAGCGAAAAAAGGCACCAAAAATCATGTTCAAACACGTGGCTTTCATAAATTTGGCAATTATAATATAAAGTGTAATCATGAGAATAACATAGAACCAATTTATGAAACAATGGGTAGTTTAGCGTAAGGATCCTTGTCATGACAAACATTTTAAGTATTATGGTTTATCGGGGTGTGACTTGTAGTTTTCTCAAAAGTCCATGGGTACTTTGGGATTCATTATGGATTTAATTCCTTTTAAATATAAGGTTAACATGGGAAACTCCAGAGCCACTAAGGCGGAGCCGGAAAGTCAGATCTTAATAAAAAACTACTTAGTTTTCCTATTTATTGCCTAAAGAATCAGTGTACCTAAATTGCAAATTGCAGTATCCTAGTTAAATGGGAAGTAGGAGAACTAGAATTAGTGACGGATGAGTGAGTCAGTCAGTATGGGCTTTATAGGTATGAGAACAAAAACCTGTCTCCTGCCACATAAATATAGAATACAGGAAATATTTTGCATGCTATACTTTAGACATGTTATATTGAATTTCAGTAGTTTCCTTTCAGGGGTATTACAGATTTTCTATAACAAGTTATTTTGATTTTTATCAAACATCAAATTGAAGGTATGCACGCACACATTTTCCATTAAGCATCGGCATATATTTACAGTATCTACTGTATAATCCCACTCGGCTTATACGTAAACAAAATTTACTCCCCATGTATTTCTAATGGGAGTTAAATTTGGTTTTTCTTTTCCGAGTTCGTTTGCCTCTTCTACACGACCGATTTTCATGATTGGGGTCTCAAATTGAACGCATGCACGCAAATATTTCACATCAATCATCTGCATATATTTACCTACTGTATTACTTGACCAAAAACATAATTTGATTCATTTTTGAATTCTTACTTAAATTTAAGATGTATTTCACAAGTTATAATTATATAATCTTATATATTTTGGTCTAAGAACCTTCAGTGAAATACCGGCTTTCATTTAAGCTATTAGTTATTCAAATCGTACGAGTTTTAAGCAAACGCAAGGTGAACAACCAACATAAAAATTATTTTTCATAAGGTTTTTCTATGATTAAAAATCAATAGCTCCAGTATTGTTCATGTTTTTTTCATATGTTTTAGACTGAAAATAATCAGTAAATTATAGGCTTTAATTTGAGCTATGGATCGTTTGAATCAGTTAGGCTCAAGATACTCAATCAAAAATCATAAATTTTATTATTTCTTGGATATTATATTTATTTTAACGCTGCGGAGCAGCAAGGGGTCCTCTAGTAAATCTTAACACTGTATTGCAATATATTTTCTATACTTGACAATTTTGTAAAACTATTTTTTACGACGGGTAAAATAATTTTCTGTAGGTAATTGCTGTAGGTTATTATCTAGGTCGACATTTTCGTTATTAATGACATAATGACGGCTGTTAGCCAGTTGGTGTGACGTGTTTCCATGGTATATAAGCCGCTGGAAACCCATGCCCTGCACTATCATCGCAGCGTTCACAGGTAAGTTACTCACCACAGAAGAGTTAGTACATGTTTTTCTCTTACATTTTTTAAGTTATAAATATTGATTTACAAAAACATAAATAGTAAATAGAATAATAATTTTGGGTAGAAATTTAAAAGACCACGTTCATACGTCTCAACGAGGAGTAAAGGCCAAAACTGAAGTTTCGAACACCATAAACCGTTTTCATAGATTTTATAATACTCACTATCAAAGTGTTTATATCTTTAATTTATTGATAATTATTTTAAAGAATTTAAATCCCATGTTTGAAATTAAATTCACCTTCCCTGTGTTATAGTGGAGAAATCCAAGTAATGTTCTAAAATACTAGTACGTGGCACGAATTTAACGAGATTTAATGAATTTAATGAAATTAATAAGATCCCTACATCTATGTTGTCTCTTTCATTTAATGCTTTTAAACAGAAAATGTTCCAATGGCTGGATGTTAATATTTTTTATTATCTCAAAGACGTATTAGACGAATGTCTAATAATTTAATGAAAGAATTTTCGTTAAAGATATGCACTTAGATTTTCATTGTCAAACTGACATGTCACCTAATGCATTGCAGTACGAAGTTTCTAACTATGCAGTTTTTTTAACTTTGAAATAGATTTTTTCTCCAAATTTTAAATTTTTGATCCTAATAGTCTAAACCTTAAATTGTTGATTTTCTTAAGTTGTAATAGTTCTGTGATATTAGTTTTAGACCTATTTACTTACTTCAATGTACACTCTGTAACATACTTTTCAATTCGAAAATAACTTCTCTGCAAGAAATATGTAGACTCTTTCAATACATTGTAAATAAATACAGTATTTCTTATGTTCATTAGTAAAACAACCCGTTTTTAAGAATTAGCATAATACACTTCACTAACGTACCTTAGCTTCATTCTTATTTTTATCATTACCATCTAAATAATACTCGAACTATTTGGATAAATTTCTTAGTTTCATCATGTTTAATTTTGATGAGTGATTTACAATAAGCTGCAATGAGCAAGAACGCAACATTGGCATTCCATAGGGAAAACTATCCATTGTGTGCAATAAATTAAAAAAAGAAGGATTATTCATGATATGCCCCAAACTTTGATGTACGTCCATATCCATATGTGGAATCGTTAAATGAAAAAAACTTGAAGGTTTTGTACCATGATGATGAATATAAAAACATTTTTAAAATACGTAAATTGGTCTTTTTCACATGAAATTTTAACTTCTAAATAATAGTTAAAAATTATTTTTGCTCCACCCACTGCACGCTCTGATATGTTAAGAGCACAACAAGCACTCAATCATTGGAAACAAATTAGTTTTATAGTATTTAATGTGTTAAACATTATTCGTATGTTTAGCCGCCATCTTGAACTGACCGGGTTTCTACTAACGATGTAAATAACTAAGTTCTTTATATCGTTGGTTTGGTTTCTACCGGTCAATTCAAGATGGCGGGAGAAAAATAATTGCATAATCAATTATTATCTTATTGTGACAGTTTCAGACAAAGATGATTTCCGTGACAGCTGTCTTGTGCTTGGTAGCCGTCGCTTCTGCGTTTCCTACATCTGGCAAAAAAACAGTAAACTTGGACGCCAAAGTGGTGCAAGCCATAGACTCAAAGGGGGAACAGTATAAACTGTATTTTGAAAAGACTGAAGAAATCTCACTGCCTGAAAACATCGAAGGAGATATTTTCAAGTAAGTAAACTGGATTTCCTTTAACTATTAACATATGAAGTAGTTTTATCAATTAATTACCCTACTTTAACATAGTTTGCCAATCCAAGAAAGTTAGTAGTGTATTTCCCTAACTTTGAATGCACAGAAAGATCTGTATTTTCAACTGCCCAAAGACTGGAATGTGGCCTACTTGCCAACAGCGGCTGCTTCATCGTAATGATATGAATGTGATAACCCTGCCCGTTAGTCAAGTCTAATAGAACGCCCGGTGTTGGTTATACGAGACCACAAGAAGGACATTAATAATAAAATACCCCCACCGCAGCAAACCTGATGTCTAAGCGAATTTCCATTTGGCTGAATTGATTTTCAATCGATCTATTTAAATAGCATTAGGTTTAACGAGTACCTAGGTTTGCTGCTACAAGGAAACTAATAAAGTGTGTGTTTTAAGTAAAATAATTATTGCTTAGTATAAAATGAATATATTTGCCAAGTTTGATCAAAAGATATCCATAAACAAGCAAATTACAACATTTTACAATATTCTCTATAAGAATAACAAGGGAATTTTAAATTTAAATTTTTTTTAGTTTTCTCCGTAACCAATAACCGTACAAAAACACTGTGATATACTGAATTGTTTGTTTTTTTAAAGCTCTTTAAGAAGGTTTAGAGAAAAATTGGGAAATTTTGTTTTTTGAGGGTCAAAAGTGAGAATAACCCATTTTTACCCCATAAAACCCCCCATTAAACCCTGTTCCCATGGTCCGATCATGCTGGATCGCGAATTCATTCAAGTTTATCCCGCCTTACACCTTCAAACAAAATTTCATCAAAATCTGATAAAAATTACTCAAGTTATCGTGTTCATGGACACATACAGGGTGGGGCAATGAAAGCACCCCAATTTATAAGTTGTACAAACTCAATAATATTCACCCTATAGATATAAATAGCACATCAAAACACAGCTTATCTTTTGCCATTTTAACTTAACAAAGTCATTTTTCCTTTTATTGAGAACAAAATTCTGCAAGTGACGTCCTTGTCCTACTTGACATTTCTTTTAAGGCACTTGAAAACTCGATCAAAAACTCTTCCAGCATTTCTTCAGGTTCACTTTAGTTTTTGGACGATTCTTAGCTTCAGTTCAAGCAAATCTGTGGGGTGACTTTAAAAAACCTCGAACTTCAAGTAGCTTATTAGAACCCCCCCCCCCCCTCTCCCAAAGAAGGAGCCAACGTAAAGCTTTCAACAACAAAAGCTTCCTGGCAAATCCCTTTGGACTTTGAGCTTCTGCGACTCGCACTCTTTCAACATTTGCTGGTGTACAAAGAGTTTTGCGGCACCCACAGATTATTTTTAAGGTTTAAGCGTTTATCCTAAATCATTTTACCCAATTCACCATTGTTTTCCAATCTGGAACAGCGCCATGTTGACCAAGGATGGAATATGGCCCAAACAATCTCTGTTTTTTGCACAAGAATCACTATTTTTAAAATAGTTCCACGTCAAAATCTCAGTGTTAAAAGCCTCAGGCATAAAATTTACTAAAATGGCATAGTTAAATCGATGTTATAAGCACAGCTGATCATTCGTTGTTGCAACAATTAACATGTGACAGCTAAAACAAATTGTGGTGTTCTCATTGCCTCACCCTATATATATATATATATATATATATATATATATAAAAATTTGAACGAATGGTGTTTTTGGCCTCTGGGGAAAATGAAAAAAGTAAATCGGTCCCGGGCCTAAGTCTTACCATGAGACCTATGGTAATAGCTACTTCCCTATAGGGAAATTCGCTAAAACAATGTTTGTCCTTTAGGGGCCTGAACCTAGATAGGAAAAATCCAGACGTCAACAAAGAAGATTTGGAGCTGCTCTACTGGCATCATGACGTCGATTATGCCATTACTAAGGCCTTTACATACCTGGACGCAGACCAAAACAAAAAGTTGACCGCTGAAGGTTAGTAGAATTCTATTTGTTTCTAAGATATACGAAATAGTAAAGTTTGTCCATTCTGGTCAGTAAGCATTTCCTACACCATTCACAGAATGAAATAACAAATTATTATAATTATTGTCATTTTAATACTTCCGAAATTTGACTATTTCGTAAGTTATTGAAAATGACACCGAAATACAATTGGTATTCTGAGTTACAATTATAATAAAAAAATACGAAGAAGTAGTATTTAGTATTAAATAATACTCAGATTATTGTATTACCCTAAGCAAAAATTAACAAGCTACAAAATGTTTTAATAAATACAAAATGGATATTTTTGTATTTTGAAAGACATGACAACGTACTGGTACTCGAGACTAATGTTTCTGTTATTGGGTCCAAACAAAACAAGAATTCAAATTTAAGATGTGAAACAAGAATGCCACTACCCTATCTACATGTGATTGTGTGTAGCTAGTTAGTTACAGGTGATTAATAATAATATTACAATTTCAGAACTCAAGGCAGCCATTGCCGGAGTGAACGGAAAGTCCATCAAGGTTGCACTCATTGGTAAGTAAAGCATTAATTATAATCCTGAAAACTTGGTTTGGTTCGAGTAGTGGCCTAAGATTATTATTATTTATTTATTATTACCAATTGATATGGGACGCCACCTAGATGGTATGATTGGTTGTACAAGACGTTAAATTTTAAATGAAAATAGTAGTAGTGAGTGCAGTCAACAGGTATTCAAATTGTGACTGCTATTTTCTAAGAATTAAATAGAATTGTACTGTGTGTATCACTGGCTATATAGTCGTTAGCTAAATGCACTATATTAACGCATCTTTTTCGTAACTTAACATTCTGGCTACGTATCTCATTTTTTAAAATTTAAAACAAGTAAACAGTTATTTATGCTATCATTTATCGTCAAACTTCCTATTTCCTAAAATTCCCATTCTCTTCAAGCTTTTCGCTAAATAGCCGATGGCCAAGGATAACGTACGATTGTCTTACAAGTGAGATTTTAGCGTCTCTTAACTGTTGTTCTTGTTATTTTCTCTAGAGTGCACATTCTACGTTTCCGCTGGACTCAAGCAATCCTGTTTGGCAGATCAGCTAGCTACCTACATCGCTCTTGTCTTGAACAAAGACGATGTCGATAAACTCTTCAAGTAAGTGTAGTACAAGGTCAAAAAGAAATATACTCATTGTCATAAAAAAAACTGAAGTTTTCACTTTTTGGCTAATATATTTCAATAAAATCGTACCTTATACATATACATGTATAAAGTGTATTTTATGAATGTCATATTTATGATCAATTTTCTTCATAGCTCAAGGCATTCAAAACAATACTTACTCCATATATTACGGTATAGGATGAGAGAGTAAAACATTTGAGGGGACAACAAGTTTGAAAAGTAAGATCCCTTTAGAGCCCAATGAATATCATTATGAATTGTTAAGCCTATTTCGTTAACGAGCAATTGTTGCTTAACGTTATTAGCTTAAATCCAAGGAACCCGTTTTATTGTATTTTTCATTTTAATATTGAGTTTTTAGGAGGGGGGATTTTTGGATTTTTTTAAAATTTCATCATAGCATTTTAACGTGGATTCATAGTATAGTGATTTGCTATAATGTTTGGTCAGTGTGTTAAATATAAAAAATATTCACGATAATACGAAACATTCATGGAACAGTTCGTTACCACATTTTAATTTGACGTTTTAAATAATTGAGTTAAATTCGTGTTTTCAATATCCCAATGCATAACCTGTTTTAGATCTAAAACGTCTTATCTATTCTTTCAGTGCACTTGCAGGGGATGACAAGAAACTGACAGCAGAGGAGGTGATTAAAAGTATCGACACCGAGATGGCTGCTGAAGAGCTTGGTGCTTACCATGGCGACCCAAAGGATGAGGTCACAGAGAAAGGTACGCATAAATTTCGTTACCTCTCTGATCAAACGACGGATACTATGTCGATTGATTACAATACAGTTAGTTTGACACCTCTTTAATTTCAAATATGTTGAATGAAATGTTAACAACGTCATGTGTACATTTTCTTTGCATAATATCATCCATATGTTTCAGAGCTGTCAGAGTACGTCACGCAAGAGACCATTCAGGACGACTTCAGGAGTAAGTAATACATTTATTTATACTAGATAACCCGTTGCTCGAATTCGAGCGAAACTGCAACTTGTAATAAAAGAAAAAATAACAAAAACAGCAAGACCTCAATCAAAGAGTCACTCTAAAGTAAGTAAAAGGCTGATTATACAAGCATGAAAAATATTATGCTGTACATTTTTTTTAAGTAATCTACAATGTTTAATAGATCTGCTCTCATACAGCTTTGGTTACTTCTTATGTACTGTAGGCGGGTGCACTCTATGCGCACGTACATGTCAACCACTCTCTGTAAAGTTTTAACCAAACAACATAAAACAACACTACAAAGAAATTATGATACACATTGTAAATTATCAACAATTCTAATTATAAATTAATTATATGGCAATGTAACGACGGGTAACTGCAGTGCGACTAATCACTTTTAAACATTCACTTCATCACCCTGAACTAAAACCAAAGCTAAGTTTATTGTACTCGTATTACGATGTACATCTAACTCCTTATTACAAACATTTTTTGTCAAGTAAGTGTTGCAAACTCATCTTTATTTATGAACCAAACTTAGTTAACAGAATGATGTTAAAATCAGAATATAAATTCCGGCTTTGCTCTCGAAGCTATAAGTCCTGCTGTCTGTGGCTAACCTTAAGAACTATTTCAATCTACGTCCATATGTTAGTTGTAATCAAAGGGTATTAAGTTTGATTGAATGCCAAAAGATTGCGCCACCGTTTCGAAACTTTAGCCCTTAACTGTAATTATGTGTTGCTCTTTCTTAATATAGACATATTTGCACATCTACGTGAAATTACCTTTAATTTGACACCTCAAACGTTAAAATCCACCAAGCAGTTATCGAGTTATGACTGTGAAAAGACAACTGCTTGCGTATTAATATATAGATTTTTGAAACCTAAATATCGTAAAGAATGTTTCCATATGGAAAACTGTTTTATTGTTTGAATTCGTTCAGATCTATCTTTTTTAACGATTCTCGTTGTTGCGTTTTATAAACAGCAGCGACTAAAACAAAAGTGAATAATAAGCTTCAGACGTAGGCCTACGTTCTGTATTTTATCTGCGAATGTAGCTGTAAGGGGGGGATTTATTTTTATAATTCAATGACGAATGAGACTTAATGTATTTGTATTCATGAATAAACTATGTCTATGTTGTTTTGGTACTATATATGACACAAAGAATTGCTTGTTCAGTTTGTAGAACATCAATCAATAAGGCAACTGGAGATCTTGACTTTGACATCAAATGTCTCATCAAGGAAATAAAAGAGTACGTCGAGATGGACCTTACTGAGTTGGACATCGCAGTTGTGTTCAGGTAACATGAAATAAATCGGATTAAACTTACATTCGTTCCATAAAACTTTTACAAATTACTACACACTCAAATGCCAGTGGAAAATAATCCCACTTTGCCACAAGTACATGTGCATTAGATGAAACATTTAAATACAGTAGTATGAAATCTACACATTTATAATATCATTTTTTAAGCGGTTTTCACATTTTACTCCCTAATTATAGTTCATTGTAGTTTTATATAAGAGAAAATATATTATATAAAATATATTCTTATTTTTATTTTCAATTATTTTCTTATTATTTATTTAAGCTTATGGTATTTTTTGCCTCTGGGGAAATCAAAACTAGAAAGCAAATCGGCCCGGAGATAAGTCTTACCATGAAACCTACGGCAATGCTTATTCCCATATGGAAAATTCTCCAAAAACCAAAAAGTTTTCATTTAAATGATAAATTCCAACACATATGTCGATAATCCCGCAAAAGAAAGTAAAGTTCATTGACGACGACGATGTACTGTACTGAACTTTTAACATTTATTTTTAAATATACTACTCTATCGTTTTGAGATTATGACGCCTTAAATTTAATACGATTTAAAGACTTTCCTTTAATATTCCTATTACTTTCAGTGGTATTGACGTCAACGGCAACAAGAAAATTGATAATGCTGAGCTGAAACAGTTCATCGGCGTAGAAGTAACCGAAAAAATGATGGACATGTTGGACACCAATCCTAAGGACAAGGGAGATATTGATTACTCAGGTACGCTCCTAACAAACAATAAAACTAACATTATTTTATCTGACAGTTCTATTGGTAGTTGAACATAGTTGTGGTGATGTATTTCATATACGTTCTATAATAATAATTATTAAATACACTGAGATGGTTCTGAAAAAATGCATAAGTAATTTATAGCACTCGTGGTTTTTGTATTTATTATACTATTACTTTAATCTAATGTAATACAATTATGCATTTTAATACAATAGATTTGAAAGTATATTTTGACAGAATAACCTGATTGGTATATAATTTGTATTGGTTGGTATTTGGTATATATTTCATGTCCTGATATATATTTTTTCGTTTAGAGTTCCGCACCTACATGAGGTCACCCACCGTCCAATACCAGGCTGAAAATGGTAAGCAATCGCTTTTATCACTTTTAAAATTGGTTTTTTTTTAAACTTGATTGTTAATTGTTCAATTATCTTTTTTTAATTGGCCTGTTGAAGCTTGGTATCTTATTTGAACAAATAATATAAATTTTTACCAAGCAAAAAGAAAATCTTTTCCTGTTTTAAAACACTAACGAAAACTGACACCATCACAAAACACATGCAAGATTTTAATATACTCATTGAGCTTACATTATTAATTAATGTATAAATGCCATACACGTTACAATATATTAAGGACTGGACCATAACCTGTGTCAGGTTTAGTTGAGGAAGGTTACCTGACCGGTTACAATGTCCGGGTGGACAAACTAAGCCTTTCTGAATGCGCCACATAAAATGGAAATTTAGGGAATATATTTAAAACTAGTTAATTCGACATCCGAGAATACTGTAATCTAGGCTATAAGACGAACAACTGTGTCTTTGTCCCGTGTAAATCAACAGACCTAAAGTGTTGGGATTGGGAAAATATGGAGTTAGTTTCAACACTTGAAGACCGATTAACACGGGATAAACGAACGATTGTCTGAATCTGTTACACCAGGAACTCGTTCAGTCCTCTGCGACTCATTTGGTTTCGTCTGGTTTCAGAATGTATTGAGCCATTGACCAGCCAGAAGGAAGAGATATCCTGTGTCTTGGGCTTGCTCAAGGAAATGATCATCGACACACACGACCCCATCGATCTGGTCATGAATGACCTAGAGATGCTAATCGCCTACGAGTAAGTCATCGGTTGTAAATAATGAACTCATTTTGTATACCTTTCGACAGAGTAGGACTAGTTGTTTCATTGTTTTGTCGGAAAAATATTGTCTCTGTTCTAAGCAATTACGAAAAAAGAGGAGACTCAAAGATTTGTAGTCCTGTACTCGAAAGAATTTATTTTGGTAACTAAAATTATATGCAGCCCAGAAACTACTAAACCACCTTTAATACATTAAAATTACGGAATTTTGACAAGCGGTGCTGGTGGTATATTCAGCTCTAGCTTCATTTTACAAATGGTTGAATGTTTGATGCAATTTTATAGGGCCATTGAGTCAAATGAAGACAAGGACAGCGTAATCTCAAAGAAAGACTTGGAAGACATTGACCAAGTTGGAGCACCCGAGATGCATGAGGCTGCCATCGTCAGGTTTATCCACGAGATGGACTCTGAGGACGATGACGTCGACGTTGACTTGGAAGGTAGAGTCAGTGCTTTTACATTGAATATCACACAAGAGTGAGACTTATGAATGAATTCCATGCTTGAATCGATTTATGAATTTTCATGTATTTATCGCGGAGAATATTAAGCTTTCCTTACATAACCAACACTTGTGATATATTTTGAGGAATCGATTTGTAAATATTCTTATCTATTTTCTTTTTCGACCACTGAAAAAACTGTTGAGTATGGGAACAGGGGAAATTAAAAGTGTCGTGTTAGTTTGGCAAAAAAAATATTCTACTTCTGACATTTAATGAAATGAAATGCAACTCCTTATTGATAATTTAGGACATCATGGTCCTATCTTACAGTTAACTTTACATTCATGTTTTGTGGAAAGTTTACTTGTGTTACAGTATATGAAAGTTCAATACCTCATAAAGTCCTGAGATAGTAAATAAAAGACTAAGTAAATCGTGAATAATACGAGTATATAAAAAAACAATGTGTTATTCACAACATTATCGTCTTTCTTCTCAACTATCGTCACAAATCTATAGCATAGACTAAATTGTCTATGTCTATAGCAAACAATCGCTTGATTTACGTTGATTCATTCTAGCTATAGTCAAATCAAATATTCTACTAAGCTTTTTTTCTTGTTTCAGAATTCAATGAATACGTAGACCTTCCTCACATGGTATACGGAGTATCTGGTAAGTCTTTAGTTAATTATGATTAATTCTTTAAAGGAATGTAGTATTAGAATGTCACACAAATTTTAGTTAGGGTTGTAATGATTTGGCGTCTATGTTTCTAAATCTATGAATCTAATATTGGATAACCATTTTATTGCAGACTGTCTTCTCGAAAAACGGACTCTCGAGGGACGTGGACAGTGCTACCCAACAGAGGTTACTGACGTAATTGACAACTTCAAGTACGTGGACTGCGACGCCTGGAAAGATTTGTTTAAGTGAGTATAAAGTAGCCCTACACGACCATGGTAATAATCAACAACAATGCCATCAACTGTAGGCGTGGGAAATGTTTGAATCCCATTACGTGGTTAAAACAAGACAAAAATATACTTTTGTAAAAATTGAGTAGGTAGCAAATCAAGCATTATTTGACATGTTTATTTATTTCATTTTATTTTCCAATGCTACAAAACAGCACATGCCAATTACTCTGTGGCATTAATCATATAAAAATGTTGTTATATATGACTTGATTGTGAACTTTTGTGAACGAGGAGCCCACTGACGTTTATATTGGACAACTGTTAACTTCAGCCGTGAAAATATCTCGGGTTACGCTATGTAGATGTATCAAAGTTAAAGACAACCTGCAAAATAACCAGACACGTTGGAATCTTTAGGTTTTTTATTCGTGTACCCGGTTGCACTTGGCATAACCACCCTCGATAAGCTAATATACGCTAATAATGTTTGGCGAATCACGTAATTTCAACTTAACTTGTAATTTTGTTGATGGAAACGAGTGATCTTTTATTATGTAGTTATTCGTGACACGCTAAACTGTGTGTAGGCACTACGCTGGAGACGATGACAAGATCACTGTGGAGGACAAAAACGAGGAGAAACTTAAGGACCAAGAAACTGAACAGATGTTCCTGGATGAGGCTGGACAAGGAGGAAAAATTATCTCTCTTTTCGGTTAGTACCATATGTTTTACACTGCATGGCCAAGGCCTTTATCAGATAAGCAACTGTCCACGTTACTACAATAATTGAGTACATATCTCGCATTTTCGCTGCGTTATAAGTAGATCTACTATTAGTTCTGTTAAGTTGTTATAAAGTGTCGAATGGAAGAATGTGTGAGTTGGTGAGAGAGTAGATCTTTGGAGAACAAATAAACAACCATACAGTAAGTTGCTATAATACACCAAGTAGAACTCTAAACCATATTACAGTGATGTAAGTATGGCTGCTAATTTTAAAACCTTCCGAAATACTGTATTTAAGAGAAAATAACATTACCCATAAACGTAAAGCTATCTTCTTTTTTAAACTTGGGTATGCAATCTTTCATGTAGAGTAAAAAAAAAAAAAAAAAAAAAAAAAAAAAAAAAAAAAAAATACTGTTCAGAATATATAAGCAAGTATTTGTCATTGTAATTAATGCAAATCCCCTTTGAAGCTTGGAAACTAAATAAATGAAGGACTTATAAAGCTTAATTCATGAACAAGACAATAATAAGCAAAGCCCATTGGTAACATCCGAGCCCACATAAATTATAAATATAAAGTTAGGTTACTGACTTTATAAACACTAGACTGTAATGTTCAATTTTCATTATTCATTTTGATTCATTGTTATTTCCAGAATTCACATGGTACGCCAAGCAGCAAGAGCTCGCTGACAGATACGAGAGTAAGTTCTGGCATAACTATACAAAATAAACATAAACACTGTAGTACCTAGGTAAATAATGAATGCAACGAAAATCTAGTTAGCACAAACTGTTAAAACTGTATAAACTGATTACCAACACATGTCCAGTACAGAATGGTGGTGGCCTAAGATACTTTTGACACACACTGTCGTTTCAAATCTCGGTTGTTCCTAAGCAAAATAGAATACAGTTGTAACTCGTATGCCTATATTTAAGTATATGCCTATATATACCTATATAAAGTATAAGCCTATATAAAGTAGCTATGGTATTGGGACAATACCACCGTTTTAAACATTTGGATATTCCATGGCCAATATGGAAAATGAGAAAATTATTATGATACCCCTACGTGAAAACCCCCGTAATTAAAAAAGTGCATTTCCTGTATTCGCTAACCAGATAAAACTATTTCAATTGTTAAGTCGATTTGCAAATACTTTATAAGTATATAAACCTACGATATTTATTCCTTTGTCTGACATGGCTTTGATCATTTCATTAGAGCAATCTCTGGTCAACTTGCACACTGGTTTGGAGTTCACCACCATCCAAGAGGGTGCCTACGACAACATCTTGTTTGAATACCTCAACAACGACATGACTGAGTACGACGTAGAAGAGTTGTTTGAGTAAGTGTTTCATTCTGATCCTAGATAGACAAATTATCAAAATAGACATGTACATGTTTTAAAAAACTAGTTTGTTCTTGTTTCTGGCTTGATAGTTGATGGTCGATATTAAGGCAACTTATAATACAATGCTAGACTGTAGACTAGCACTCTTACAATTTAAATTAAAATTGTTGATCGAGACTGTAAAATAAACTGTATCCTAGTTAAAACCATAGTAAAACACTGGAATCCCTTCTCGAGTACTAAATGATAATAAGTGCTCATTTAGATCAGAATATTGCAACATTGTGCCGTGCATATTAACCCAGAGTGCAAGAGAACATACCATCGAAAACCGATGACCTACAGAATATTTTAGTGCAATCAATATGTAAGTATTACCATGTATTACTCTTATACCTTTAAATGTACAGTGTACTGGACAAGAACAATGACCAGGAACTGACAGATGCTGACTTCAATAACAACGCAGATGTCGCTGCCTTGTTGAAATACATCGACGGACTTGACGTACACGGAGACGAGGACCATAATGTCAACTTTAGAGGTACGCACCCGCACATAAACCAATTCAACATCCCATCCCATCTATATGGACCAGCTGTCACAATTGCTGTTATTAAAAAAGAATGTAGTTGTGTGAGCCAGTCACAGAATGCCCTAGTGTCTAAAATCTTTTGGACGAAATGGTCAAATCCTATAATCTAAAACAAGCACGTTTATGAGCAAACTTTTTATTTTCGTCCGGTTTTTATATTTGTAGTTACAGTTAAAAAACAGCTAATACAGGTTGTGAGTGGTGTAGGGTGGTGGGTTTGAAAAGTATTAGTTTGTTTAGATAATGTTACAATATGACGAAAACTATGGTTCATCGCATGGAAAAAAGTATATTTTCATCCCTCGCTCATTTCCCTACTTTGGCGTCGCCTCGGTTGTAAAACTTTAGTTCGGGTCGATTAGGGTCACTCGCGTATATAAGTAACGTATATAGTATTTTATAGCTGATTGTAGCTTCTATAATCATAATCTACACACAGCTCTACACTGGAGCTACAGAGCCATCGCGTTTAGTGTCGACTGTCCAGTGGCGGCCACAGCTTGATTTCCCATAAAAGATAACTGTAATGCAAACTCTTTAAATTCAGTGATTAATAATATGAAGCCTAAAACCATTGCTATTGGATACTGAATAGTCAATGCTAAAAATATAAGTTGATATATGAACTTAAAATTTCTTTCAGAATTCTGGATGTACATCAACTCCCGCAACTTCGGACCTAGCACGCAAACCAACTGGTATATCAAGGATGTATTCGAGGATGGTAAGTAGCCTACCCTCCAGTCAACCGCTCAATATCCATAGTCGACTGCAAAGTTGTATGAAACATTGCATTAGATTATAACACGACAGATGATGCATTGTACGTCTAAACACTTTTTTATGTTGAACAGTTTATGTATACAAGAAATACAGCACAGCAAATCACCAAAAGGAAAACAAACTGTCAATAGTGTTGAATGCATTTAGGATGAACTTTAATCCCAATTTTCAATTCGTGAGTGATATTTTAACTCTTGGTCTATATGTATGCCCATCAATTAATTAATACCACTAAGTCAAGTAAATAGACAACTGAAATCATTTATGTAAAACCATTTCGTCCTTACCATTTCAAATTGCGTCAGGAAATAACACAATAAAAAAATATTTGTACAGTTTTGTATATTCTTTTTATCGTAATTAGGAAGGAAATAAATAACAAAAAGGAATTTAAAATTGTTGAAAATTTGTATTGTCATTATTACTCGATCCCAACAGAATCAGGCTATTCTCAACAGAGGTGTATTATGCTCCACTGTACAGGTTAAAACTAACATATTGTTCTGTTTGCAGAGTGCACCAAGAAGGAAAAGTCACAGAAGGCCGAGATCGATTGCTACGTAAACAAATTCACCAACCCAAAGGGTGTCTTAACCGTGTAAAAATCATCGTCCCTGCGACTTACAATTGTATCATAAGTAGAGTCAAAATAAAATCTACTCTGACTTAAAAATTGATTTTAATTTGTTTGCCTCGTGTTAACATAATACAATTGAGAAAAAAGCTTGGTTGAGTAAAATCAATTTTAGAATTTGAGTGGTTATGGTTAGCAAAGGTGTGCACTTAAGTCCTATACATGTACTATTGTTATTATCACATTATAGGAAACTACCATAATTGCACATTATTACTATATAATGTGGCCATTGCTAATGTCTACAAACTGGGGAGCGAGCTGGTCTAGTGGTTAAAGCGTGGAACATCGGTCCCTGTGGTCCCGGGTACAATCCCACCAAATAACCAATGGATTTTATCTAAGTGATAATGCCGCAACCCCTAGATCTAGTCTGAAGGAATGTGAGAATAATCCCAGGCTCGTGCTTAGCGTCCTAGGGGGAAAATGTCTACAATCTAACATAACTGACTCATTGTCAGAATCAGAATCAGAATCAGAATCATCATTTATTGTCTTTCAGCATTACATACATGCAATAGACAGTGTCATTTTACATGCAAAATAAATAAAAAATACATAACATACAATTTGTAACAGATAGGCTTATAACTATAATACTGATTTAAAAATTAACAGAATGCTCTTTATAAAATTCTTCTAGGCTGTAAAAAGGATTTTGGATCAGCCAGTCATACAACCTTTTTTTAAACACTTTAAGCTCCAGAAATTTACAGCTATCACTTAACTTATTAAATAATTTCAAACTAACTATATTAAAACTATCTTGACATTTGCTTAACCTAGTATATGGCAGGTCTAGCATAGATTGGTTTCTTGTATTATGGCTATGGATATCTGATCTTAAAACTAATAAACCTAAATTAAAATCTTTTTTCACCTTCACCAAGCAAACAAATATATACAAATTTATCACAGTTTGAATTTTACATTTTTTAAACAAAGGTTTATGCCTAAGCTTTCCATTTTTTTCAAGAGAAACCTTATTCAAAATACGAAGTGCTTTTTTTTGGATTAACAAAACTTGATCTATATGGGCACTATTTCCCCAAAGAATTAGGCCATAATTTATGACTGACTGGAAAAATGCGAAATAAGCTGTTCTAACATATGACTCAGGTACAATATCCATCAGTGATTTGAGCAAGAAAGTGACTCTAGATAGTTTACAACATACTAACTCAACATGTTTTTCCCAAGATAAAGTACTATCAATTACAACTCCTAGAATTTTAATATTTGTTTTCTGATCCTGGTTGTTGGCCCTTAGAGTACAAAGAAGATTTTGAGTTTTTTCTAGGTTTAAAAGGAGGTTATTTGAGCTGAACCACATCTTAGCTTTATCTAGAGTTTGTTCAATTGTTGATTTGAGATGGTCATAATCTGAATGGACACTTAAAAAACTAGTATCATCAGCAAATATAATAGTTGATGAGTTGGTTATATTGCTAGCTATATCATTAATTACCAGAATAAAAAGTAGTGGTCCAATCACTGAACCCTGTGGCACTCCGGTGTTCACTTCAGAACAATTTGACACATTACCAACTGCATCAACATATTGACTTCTCCCACTCAGATATGATTCAAAGAACTTGAGTTGAACACCACCGATGCCATAGTGATTAAGCTTATTTAAAAGAATTTGGTGATCAACACAATCGAAAGCCTTGCTCAGATCACAGGCAGTGATCTGGGCAAGACTTCCGCCTTCAAAAGCCAAAAGGATCTCTGAGATCATTTCTTCTAGGGCATCAGTAGTAGACAACCCTTTACGGAAACCAAATTGGGAATCAGACAATAAACTATGGATATCTAAAAATTTACATATCTGAGTTTTCACTACCGCCTCCATAATTTTTCCTATGACAGGGACTAAAGATATTGGGCGGTAATTTTTCATTTGAGACTTATCACCTTTCTTGAAAATTGGGACAACTCTAGAAATTTTTTGGGAATTTGGAAAGCTACCCTCAGCAAGACAACAATTGATGGAAATAGCAAGTGGGGTCAAGATTGCTTGTATTACATGCTTTATAACACTTGTTGAAAGCCCGTACACATCTTTACTTTTCGAAACTTTCATTTCCGAAACAACTCTGAGCACACTTTCACTGGTCACCATTTCCCACTTGAAGTCGGAGCTGGGCCTTCTCGCATGTTGAAGAAAAACTGCTGGTGCCACAGGCGATGCCTGTATGTTGTTCCTCGCCTCCTTGACAGATTGAATGAAGAAGTTGTTGAAATCTTCGGCAGTGATTGAAGCATCACACTCCGGTTTCTTCTGGGCTGATACCCTCCGAATTAATGTCCAGGCGGCTTGGCATTTGTTGCTTGAGTTTTCAATATATGCAGCATTAGCGTTCCGCTTAGCTTGATTTACATGAATTTTGTATTGGCTCCTAATGCGTTTGTAAGCCTCAAAAGAAGCTTGAGTTTTAATGTTCATGTAAATTGTACGGTAAGCCATGACTTCCTCCTTCAACCGAGTTAACTCTGGAGAATACCATTCCTTGGTTTTTGTGGAGCTCGATGGTTTCTTCTTTTTTTTGGAAGTTTTAAGTGGGCAAGCTTGATTAAAAATCCCAATTATTTTAGAAAAGAATAGGTCGAACCGGTCTTCAGCAGATAAATTGTTTTGACACAACAGGTTAACCCAGTCAATATTGTACAAAAGTTCAAAGAAGTTGTCCAAACATCGTAGAGACAGATTTCGGAAAATAAAGCTTTTAGGATGATCACAGTTGAAGAATGATTGAAGCTGTATGATGGACTCCAACCCGCTGTGGTCAGCAATATCAAGGGGAACAACTTGAGTCTTGCAAAGTTCTTCTGGGATGTTTGTAAATATATTATCCAAACAAGAATTTAAACGTGTGGGCATATTGTTGAGAAATTTACAGTTAAACTGTCTCAGAGTATTTAACAGCCTTTTCACAGTGGATTTGTCTTTTGTTACATCAAACTTGGAGTTAACATCACCCCCAATAACAATGTTGGTCTTGAAGCGACTAAGATGGATTAGCAATAGTTCTAAGTCCTTTAAGAACAAGTTTTCATCACCTGCTGGAGAATGGTAGATGCTTACAACTATTATTTTAGGGGTTTCTATCATGACGGCAGAACATTCAAAGCTAATTTCAGTGCACAGCCAGTCTATATCCAGTACTTTGTGTATAATATTCCTGTTGTTTGAAACTAATATTCCAACACCACCTCGTATATGATGTTTACGGCAGTACATTGATAGAGGTGTGTAACCTTCAACTTGTAAGTATCTGACCTCTTCTTCATGTAGCCAATGTTCACTAACACATAATATATCATATTTGTGCTCTTGGGCTTGAAAGCTCAATATATTTTCTTTGCCCCTCAGTCCCTGAAGATTAATGTACAATAATTTGAGGACATTTACTTCAACTGGGTTCAACCCACTATTGCACTGAGTCAGAAAACTGTTGTTAACACTACATGTTGATGTACTCAGGCATTTATTAGCTACTTTTTTGTTTGAGCTACTGGCTTCTTCCGTAAAAAATATCTAGATTTTTCAGAGGGCTCATAACTACTATTACAGGATTTGATAGTCCCTGAAGATCCATTATTCATGTTTGATCCTTCTGCTACTTTAATCTCGCTTTCATTTTTATTTTCGAGATGGGATATGACTTTCTGCAAAGAATTTATTTTACTTATTTTAGGGGTGCTAAATCCTGAAAAGGGTGTAGTGTCATTTACTGATGGAGAGTCAATTTCATATGGGGTGTCACAGAGCATCGTTTGGCTTGATAAAGTTGAAGGAATGTTCAACTCTTGGAGAGGTTGAGTTGTTCCTTGGGTCTTTGGGGTCTCTGTTTGGTTTTCACTCAGTGTTGAAGATGTGGGTATCGGTAATGTGTGATAGATGTTAACTTGAGTATTACCTGGCTGCAACGTAGGAGTCAACTGTAGAGGAGTAGGTTCCACATAATCACCATGGTGGCTTCTGATAATTTTGACTACTACCTTGGAGATGGCCTTTTTTCCTTTCCGGTTTAAATGTAACCCATGTCTTGTATGGTAACGCCTTTCAAGTGTCCAAAGATCTAGAAGTTTAATGTGTGACTGATTGCTGTAGGTGATTTGTCTGATAATAAAATTAGCCTCTTTGATTAATTGATTTTCTATGCTAGATGCACTCAGATCGTATCGGTATGGCAGTGTAGACAGGATGAGGTTGGTATGTTTGAATGACATTTGTATTTCATTAAGTTTCTCTTCCAACAATTTCAAGAATTGTGTTGGAATTGCTGCAGACTGCTTTGTGATGTTATTTGTCCCTCCAATCAAGATAACAAAGTCATTGGTCGTTAATTCTTTTACCTTTGCTGATTGTCTGATAGGTTTAGTTATGAATTCTAATGGAGCACCGGGTTGGCAATGGTTTGTAATATTATAACAGCTGCCACTTGCTTGATCTAGGAAGTAAGCTATATCTTTCCCATGACTGTCACTTGCAATCATGATATTATGTTTGTTGAGTGGCTGCTTTCTTGGAGCATTTACTGAGCTGTTTCCATGGGAGTTCTTACTTAGAGGCTTAGTAAAGCTCTTGTAGGCTATGGAGGATGTGCTGGTAAAGTTTGAAGGTTCTTTGCTGTTCTCCTTTTGAGTTATTTGATCTAGGACTTCAAATCTATTTTTAGTTGTTATTGGCAAATTAGTGAGCTTATAGGCCTTTTTTCCTTTGACTTGTCTGACTTTCTTTTGATTATTTACACTTTTCTTACTGGAAGAGGTGGTCTGTTTACCGTTGATACAAGGTGCCGTCTTAAGCTGTTTATTGGAAACTAATTCACTGTTTTTCTTGATAGCCGGTGTTCCTGCATACCAATCTTCAAAGGGAATGCTCGATCCGGTGCCTGCACAGTAGTGATATGCTACATATTTAGCATTTGCTAATACATGTATTCCGCATTCAAATGAATGTTTGTGTTGTAAACTAGGCATTTCCATGAAACTAGTTTTGTTAATACCTAGATTATTGGCCACATTTTGAG